TATATTTACCGGATGTTAAATTATGCTCCAACACATAGTTTCCTGGTTCAAATTATTCATTGTTATGTCTTTTATGATTATCTATAGTAAAATTGTAGAAGATGACAGGGTTTCATTCCTTAATGGCTGAATACCACTCCATTTGAATATCTGCCATATTTTCTTCACTCATCACTAGCTGAGAGTTTGATGACACCTCATGCCAATTAAAAAAAACGAAAGTACAATAAACATGATATTTGTAATTTTTTCTACTAACTTCACTCCTTTTGGATGTATATCCATTAGTGAGACAACGAGATCACATAGAAGTTTTATTTTCAAGAGACGTAGAGGCCTCTATTGTGCCTTCTGTCATTTCCATTGCTACCAACAGTGAGGAAGGGCTCCCTTTGCTCCACATCCTGGCCAACACTCACCTTCTGTCTTTCATCCTTGCTAACTCAGTTTTACCTTAAACATCATTTCTCTCATTGCACTATATAAATATTCTCCCTTTCCCAACCACTCTTATTTTGTTATTCTGCTTGATTTTCTATTCGATTGCCAGATTTTCCACTTATTGCCTGTGTGCCATATTTTAGTATGAATTTCTTAAGAGCTTCTATTATGGTCATTCATCTTTATATCACCAAGACCAAGGAAAACACCCACCACTAATACTCATGTTTAACATAGCTATATATTCCATAGTTTGGGATAAAAATAAAAAGATTTTTATCAGGACTGAATTTTTTAGCACAATTCATGACAAAAAATATGGATAGTTATTTTGGATATAAATTTGCATTTATTAAATTAAATAATATGAAGAGCCACGGGAAAACGAATGCCATAGGAAAATAATTCTTTTTTAGCATACTATTTGGCATATTCATTCTAGGTATGCATTACCGTGACATTTATAGGGCCATATTCCTATGTAGTTATTTATAGCCTTCTTTACTACTCAAGAAAAGAAATAACCACACAGATTTAGCTTTTCAGGGTTCTGTTGTTTTTCCTAAATAAACTTTCCCCAAGTCAAAACTTCTGAAAAGTTTTTTTTTTTTCAATCAAATATGCTCTCTAGAAGTCTAACCTGTGGGAGCGGGATGCAGCCTGATTCCACGGTGGTACAAAATGGTAAAGGTAAAGTGAGGCTTTGGGGACATTGCTCTGATCCTAATCCATATCGTGCATCCAAGTATCAATGGGCTGGACAGAAAAACAAAGGCCATTCTGTAACCCACATTTAATACGACTTTCAGCGTGAGTGTGTCCTCACCCGTGTTTAATATGACTGACGGAACATTCAGCGTGAGTACATCCTCACATGCTTTATTTTCCAATTAAAAGCAACAGGACCTCCTGGACATTGTAAAGTATTTTCTTTTCGTCTAGTTCTATATATATTTTAGACATTTTAAAAATTATCATTTGCCAACTTCTAATTATGTAAACATAAACCAATCCTTGCCTGTCTTCAAGGTAGATTAAAAATATCCGTTATTATTAAGCTAATAATGCTAGCTCCAGAGGTCAGGAGATTCAAGAGTTTTTGTAAGTTCAAAGAAAGCTGAAGAAAAAAGTTACAAGTCTAAAGTTGTGAGCAACTAATTATTGTGTGGAAAAAAAGTATAGATTTATTAAAAGTCATGGGAGCATCACGAACAAGGTGCCTCTTACTTAGAAGCTGTCTTCAAGAAAAAAATTAAAGTATGTAACTTTACTACCTACATGTAACAAAAGGCATTTTATTTATATATAATTTAATTTTTCATGTGGTATATTTTGATCATATTTTCCCTCTTCCAACTCCTCCCAGATCTTTCCTACCTCCTTACCTGTCTGACTTCAAATTCTCTCTCTTTGTCAAAACTAAGGGAAAAATCAAAATAAACAAACAAACAAAAAAAAAAAAAACCCAACGAGACAAAAGAATGCCCAAAGAAAACAAAAAGGCCACAGAAAGCAAAACTAAAATGTGGAGTCTTTGTATTGGCCGACTGCTCCTGGGCTCGATGCCTCCCTGTGGTGTGGGTGATATGCCCAATGGTAGTATATAGGAAAGAACTGATTTTCCCTTTCCCAATAGGAATCAATTGCATATAACTTCTTAGTTCATGATGGGACTCCGTGTCCACCCCAAACAGAATGACCAAGATCAAAAGTTTTATGAATTATTTTCTTTTAATTAAAATACATTTTTCCCTCCCCCAGACCATCTCAATTCCTCCAAATCCACACTCTTTCTGTTTCTCATGGACATCTAAGGAATAAAGACAAAATAAGATAAAACAGAAAGAAACAAATTAGAATAAGACAAACAAACAGAGGAAAAAAGAGTCAAAGAAAAAGCATGAGGAACACATAGAAACACACAGGTTTGCATACACAGGAATGCCATAAAAAGACAAAACTGGAGGCCATAATACACTTGCAAAGTACCTATAAGGTTTTAAAAGAAAAAAAGAAAAGCAAAATCTCCAATGCAGCGCTATGAGACAAAGACCCTCCAAAGATGCCTTTGAATTTGTTTTATATTGGTTAGCTACTGGTTGGGTCGACCTTTAAGAGTGGTTCATTTCTTCAGTGAGAATCCCTTGGAGAAAACTAAATTTTCATTTGCAAGTAGTTATTAATTGGAGCTGGATTCTATGTTAGGTACAGGAGTGCGTGTTCATTTCCCCTCTCAACTCTTAAGTCCTATTTGGTACAAACCCATGTATGTAGGCCCTGGGTATGCTGCCTCAATCTCTCTGGGTCCATATGTGTGTCAGTGGTGCTGTGTTTAAAAAGTCTTCTTTCTTTGGTGTCCTCCATTCCTTCTGGCTCTTACACTCTTTCTGGCAAAGGGTCCTACGGGAACCTACAAACAACCCAGGGTACCACCAAAGCTTTTGGTTGCTCTCCTCAAATTGATAATAGTGCCCCACCGCTGAAGACTACATCTACACAATACATTGAACACAGAGAAGCTGAACTGGTGCCTACATAGAGTTTTCACCCCTATCCCTAGTGTTCATGCTACTGGAAGGTACTCTGCGTTCTATCAGAGAAGAAAGGTAAACACTAACACAACTACAAATCCTTCAGTATACAGTGATAACCTATACTCAAGATAAGCTGGTACTATAGTGGCACAAAGTTTGTGGGCACAGCCAATGAAGATTTGATTTTATTTAAGGCCCATGCCATGAGATGGAACAGATAGATACTTGACACTGCTTGGGTAGCCACAAACCCAACAGTAGATAACCCAGGGACCTAGAATAAAACAAAATACTATGGTTCTACTAAAGGAACATAGGAATAAAATAACTCCTACCCATATTCTGCTATATTCATAGATCAGTGCCTTGCTCAGCCATCATCAGAGAAACTTACTTCTGCAGCAGGTGGGAACAAAGACAGAGACCCACAAATAGACAATTTTCAGAAAGCGTTAAGAGGGATGTCTCCATCAAAATTTCTATGAATTAAAAAAGTTATGGCCTTACTATGTAACCCAGACTAGCCTGAAACTTGAAATCTTCTATTGCAGACTCTCAAGTGTTAGCTTACAAGGTGCCTCTAGGCTTGGGTATACAATTTTCTTAAGTAACAAAATGCAATCTGTTAAGTAACAAAATGCAATATAAAATGTTATACGACTTTTCCTGAGGAGATCTGAACAAATGCCTACTCACCTCAAATATAGTACCCAGAACAGGTCAATCATAAACTATTCTACTAAGTTCAACTTGGAAAAACATACTGGAGTTCCTTATAGGAATTTGGATCCCTCAATGACAGCTATTTCACTAAAAAGCTCACACTATCATAACTGACGACTCTGCAATGCTACAACCCCAGAGATCTCTGCTGGATTTGCATGCAGCTCATTGGGTCCCAGAACCTCTTCCTGGCAATTGTTTCCTGATTATAACCCAGCAGAGTGGCTTTGTGGTTTAGTTTCAGTGTCCTGAACTTGTGTGATTTGTTGACACTCAAAGTCTCATGAATTCCACTCTTCTCTCCAGGAAGCTATGCTTCAATTTAGGGAAAATTGCTATGCAATAACAAATGGTAGCAAAAATTGAAAATCTTTATTTTTCACAAAGCTTTCTGCATTTTGTCATTTGAAAAAGCACTAAAAACAGGTTTTCAATTTTTTGTATATATTTAGATTTCCAACTTTCTTTTTTTATCACTTGAAGAACAAATTAATTAATACCAATTATTTTTCAAACTTACAGATGTTTCTCTGTAGTTATAAAATGATTGTGATGTGATGATTTATTTAGTATTTAAGCCATATTTTGAAGTAATAAATGCAAGGTCACCAAAAACAAAGATGTTTGTTATCTTAGCATGTTTAATTGCTGATGTTTTGTTATTGTATTAATTTGAAAGTAAAAACACTAGAAGATAAAGAAAAATCAGACTTCTTACACAAAATGCTTTCATCTGGTCCAGAGTTGTCTCATTAGACTGAGTTCAAAGTTAGATAGAATGGCCTCATAGATCACCATGATGTACCACGCTTTTGGTAAAAACAAAACAAACAAACAAAAAACCTGAAAAACACTGGAGAAGGCAGTCTGAGCAGAGCGTAAGTTCTTCACAGGTATGAGGATGCCTACTACCAGTGGGGAATGGTACCCAACAGTGAGTTCTTCCCAACTCATCTGGTTAGACTTTGCTCATTCCTAGTTTGATGATTTGAACAACAACAATGAAGCACAACCCCTTTTGCACACTTATTTGTTTTGTATTGGATGAATATGAGCTACAGCGATGGGTGTTTTTCAAAAGTATTTCATGAGAGATTGATTAAAAAGAATAAACATTAAAAATGACCCTCCTACTTTGGTAGGGTGTAGCATAATTATATAGTTACAGAACAGAAGCCGGAGATAAAAAAAAGAATGCTAGTTAGAACACAAGAATGATGTAGACTGTTGCTTTTTTCTTTAGACTATCAGTGAGGACTCATCGTGTCTCTCCTCCCTAACCCGTTTTCCTCTTTGATGTAGACGCTACCCTGAATGTCGTTGCCTCAACTTTGGAACCTGGTTTTTATTATCCTTCCCAGTTGCAGTTATCCTTCTACTCTTGTCCTGGATCTGGCTTCAGTGGCTTTTCTTAGGATTCAAGTAAGTAGGCATTTTACTTTGATGTGATAAAGGTACCTATGACCCATGCTTTATTTCCAGTGCTCGTTCTCCCCTATGTAGTCAGAGGTTGTTCATTGCCAGCTGCCCAGACCTGCTGACAGAGGTTTCTGTCCCACCTGGACCCACAGCCATTCCATCCCAAAGAAACACACAGAGGTCTACATTAATCATAAACTAGTTGGTCTAGTAGCTCAGGCTTCTTATTAGCTCTTATAACTTACATTAGCCTATAATTCTTGTCTGTGTTAGCCATCTGGCTTGGTACCTTTCATCAGCAAGGCATTTTCATCTGGCATCTGGCGTCCTCTGTGAGAACTGCAGACTGACTCTTTCCTCTTCCCAGAATTCTCCTTTTCTCATCACCCCATCTCTACTTCCTGCCTTGCTACTGGCCAATCAGCATTTATTAAAATACAAGTGACAGTGACAGGGTACAGACCATTTCCCCACAGCACTCCCCCCCTTTTTCAAAACAAGAACTCTGAATCAAATCTCCTTTGTTTAACTTTTCTCCTGACCATTATCCATAACAGCACTCCCCCCTTTTTTCAAAACAAGAACTCTGAATCAAATCTCCTTTGTTTAACTTTTCTCCTGACCATTATCCATAACAAATTGTAAACAACATTCTAAACAAATGTAAACATCCATAATCCATTTTGGGGGGAATGTAGGCATAGTTTTCCAGGCTACTTCCTGCTGATTGGGGAGTGCTGATAACCTTATGCTGATAATCTAAAGAAAATTTTGAATTATGATCAAGTCTGGAATGGAATATTCTGTGAGGCTTGAATATTCTGTCAGCCAAAACCATTCTGAATGCAGAACTCAAAGGAAACTTCAACAGAGGCCCTCTAAAATATTGGATGATCTGGACCATCTGCTCCTATTAGAATTCTTCAGGACATCTTCCTTGATCAAACCTGATTTTTCTTAGCCTAGAATGAATCCACAGCCTCTCATTTCCTGTGGAAACAAAAGCAAACTCTTCTCCAAAGTAACATACCTTTGACTTAAATTTTGAAGTAAAGGCATTTTCAAAATATATATGTTGGATTAATCCAGAGCACTTATAACCAAATATCTTTTAGCAGCTTTTGATCCTTCCTCAGCCATGAGACAATTTAAAGATAACACAATAACATACAGTATCCAGACTCTGTGTATTTTTCATCATTATGTGGCTTTATTTTAAACTCTATTTCTTTTATTTTTATTTTTAATTTTTGGCTTTTTCAGACAGGGTTTCTCTGTGTATCTTTAGCTGTCCTGAAACTTACTCTACAGACCAGGCTTTCCTTGAACTCACAGAGCTCTGCCTGCCTCTGCCTCCCAAGTGCTGGGATTAAAAGTGTGTACCATCACACCTTGAACTCACAGGGATCCACCTGCCTCTGCCTCCCAAGTGTTAGTATTAAAGGTATGTGCCACCACACCCAACTACTCTCTTTTTCCTTTTTTTTGTTTTAAGGACTTTATCCTTTTTCTTTTCTCTCATAAGCCTACATATATTTTGTAACACACTATAAACCATTTAGAAGTTTTATTTGACTTTGAATCTATCTTTACTATTTATCTTTTTTTCTGACCTCATAAGTCTTTAATTTGCTAAGTGATATAGCTAGGATTAAAGCCGTGGGTTTGACAGCTGGATCCACCTCATTCCTTAGCTTTCTGGGGTCTAAAGTCATGGCAGAGTTACTGGTGGGAGCCATGTTTATTGCTGTAACTCTATGGAGTTTAAAAGACCCTGACACCACCAAAAAGCATGCTGCCAGCAATTCATAAACACCATTTAAGTGTTTGGTGGCAGGGTTTCTTAAAAGAGCTGCAAGGTTTCACAGCTAAAGCTGAGTCAGGAAGCCTCTCTTAAATGAGACATGCTTGCCTCTAAGAAAAAGAGCCCAACTGAGAAAGTGCTACCATCAATAAGCCATGTTTTACTCTGTTATTTTGTGTCTAAAATTGCTTCCCAAGCTCTCTCAGATTTTCTGGGATGCAGTTGTCCACATTTGTTGATAGAGGTTTCTTCTGTCCCACCCAGACCCGTAGCCATTCCATCCCAAAGAAACATGCAGAGGCCTACATTAATCATAAACTTGTTGCCTTAGTAGCTCAGATTTCTTATTAACTCTTATAACTTACATTTGCCCATAATTCTTACCCGTGTTAGCCATGTGGCTTGGCACCTTTCATCAGCAAGGCATTCTCATCTTGCTTTCTCTGCATCTGTCTTCCTTTGTGAGAACTGCAGACTGGGTCCTCTTTCCAGAATTCTCCTGTTCTTGTTGCCATGCCTCTACTTCTTGGCTGGTTGCCCTGCCTATACTCCTGCCTGACTACTGGCCAATCAGCATTTTATTAAAATACAAATGACAGGATACAGACTATTGTCCCACAGCACAAACCTGAAATAATCAAATAGAAACTGTATTATTACAACACTGCTTGGCCTTAGCTCATGGTTCTTATTGAATAGCTCTTATATCTTAAATTAACCCAATCTATTAATCTGTGCATCATTTTGTGGTTGTGGCAACTAGTAAGGTTCCGTCTGGTGGTGTCTGTCTTCTGGCTACATGGCTTCTCCCTGACTCCACTTACTTTCTTCCAGCATTCAGTATAGCTTCTGCCTATCTCTAGTCTGCCCTACCATAGGTCCAAGCAGTTTCTTTCTTTATTAACCAATAAAAACAACATATATGCAAAAGGATTTCCCATAACACCCCTATGCTAGCCACACTGTATTTCCACATACCACAATAAAAAAACTTAAGATATATAAGCACATTAGGATAAGCTGAAATTATTTAAACAATGTTAGCATTGGCAGAGTCTATAAAATACCTATCCAGTTGGGTTCCCTTTGAATCTCAAACCAGTGATACATTTACTACTCAGAAAGGCATATGGAAGTGATTACATTGTGATCCCCATCCAACTATTACAGGAGAGTTGTGAGAAGCCATGGCCTCTGCTTGTTTTAAGAGGAATGCCCAAAGATTATCAAGATAATTTCAACTGTCAACGTGCAGGATTTCCTGCTTCATGATAGCTCCAGAGTTGATTAACACCTTCAAATTTGTAAAGTAAAATAGAGTCTGAGTAGATTTTCTGTGGAGAGCTGTTGGACTAGTGATTAGAAGTAAGGTATCTTTCTCACTGTTCTGTTACTGTGAAGGACACCATGACCACTAGAAATCTTATAAAAGAAAGTGTTTCATTGGGTGATTGCTTACAGTTTCAAGTTAGTCCATTATCAACATGGTGGGAAACATGGCGACATGTGTGGTGATAGAGAAGTAGCTGAGAGTTATATCCTGATCTGTAGTACAAGAGAGAGAAAGAGAGAGGGGGGAAGGGATAGGGAGAGAGAGGGGAAGGAGAGAAGGGGGAGGGAGAAGGAGAGAGAAACTGGGCCTGGAATCGACATTTGAAATCTCAAAGCCCACCCCTAGTGACACATTTCCTCCAACAAAAACAACACCTCCTAATCCTTATAATCCTTTCAAAGAGTTCTATTCCCTGGCAACTAAGCCTTCAAAGATATGAGCCTATAGGGGCTGTGGTAGTTTGAAAGCAATTGGTCCCCATAAGCTCATATGGAGTGGCAGCATTAGGAGGTGTGGCTTTGTTGGGATAGGTATGGCCTTGTTGGAGGAAGTATATCACTGTGGGGGTGGGCTTTGAGGTTAAATGTCCTCAAGATATCGCCCAGTATCAGAGTCCCAATTTTTATTGCCTTCGGATCAATATGTAGCCAGCACCATGTCTTCCTGCACAGATGTTCCCTGCCTTGATGATAATGGACAAAACCTCTGAAGTGTAAGCTGCCACTTCAAGTAATATTTTTATTACAAAAGTTTCTGTGGTCATAGTGTCTCTTCACAGCAATAGAAACCCAAAGACAGGGGCCATTATAATTCAAAGCATCACAAGAGGTAACAGCAGCTTCTCAAAAGACAAATAAGCAATCTCTACAAGTCCTGCCATAATCAGTCTCAGCACCTTTCACTGTAAACAGCAGGATTTACCCGATACATTTCATAAGATCACTTCTAGCATCATGATGTCAACAGTTAAGGGTCCAAATTACAGCAACGGAAGTAAGACATACTGATCAATAAAGAACCACAAATGCCACTAAAATGTCGAATTCTGAATTCAAGGGAATTTCAGGGTTTCTTTTTGAGGATTGAAGCGGGTAGTTTGGCAAGCACTCAGTAGTCACATGACTGAGATGACAGCCGCCATGAAAACCACAAAGGGCTAATCCACACAATCTCAAATTCAGCCTGTACTTTCAACTCTGAATATTCTATTAGAAAGTAGGTATATCACAATCATGAAAATATTTTTCCTGAATAATGAAATATTTAAAATTTATCATGATAGCTTAATTTAAATAATCTCAAGGACCTCTGAACCAAGCAGGATGCTGTTCTCTAAGACAGCTAAGGTGAACTCAGTTACTAGGACTTCTTTTGAAAAATGACAGAGTAGGGTAGAGTATGGTGTCTTAGCTATGGCCATAGTTTCCAGGTCTAGCAAGGTAATGGTCAATATTTTCCTCTCTCTATTTTTCATCTTATTGTTCCTTCCTAACTGCCCAATTGAGCTACTAGTTGGAAGATGGGGCTGATGGTTTTTAAAAACGCTCTATCCAGATTGTGAGAGCAGCATGTGGCAGTTCTCCTGCTGAAGCAAATGCGTGCAATGTCACTGACTTCAGCAGGTGGCCTTCAGTGTGACAGGCCAGCTGCATACTAAACTCTCCTCCCTGGAAATTCAAGCTTTGGGGGGCTGGTTTAGTTGCACAGGTAGCAAGATTGGAAGCAGGAGAACAATCCCAGCCAGCGGATGTGGACATTAGCCAGTGACTATAGCCCAGTACTGTTTTCTTTCTTTGTTGCTACTTTTAATGATTTTAAACAAACACACATGCCACCTCCATTATTATTTTAATACAGCATGTCACTGAAAATAAAAAAAAAATTAAGAAGATAAAGAGCAGAAGTACTAGAATATGCTGCCAATGAGGAACAAAAAAAAAAAATCCCCATGAAATACACTCATTGGGCAACGTCCATAAATCATGATCAGTGTTGTTTTTAAATAGTTCTCTTGCTGTCACTACTGGTTAGACATGGCAGTTTCATGTTCCAGTTAATTTTCCAGCATCCTCTCATTTTTACAGGGTGTTTATCTCTAAAGGCTCTAGACTGACAAACAGAAATTAGCTGCCATTGCCCTGGCTGGCTAATATACATTCTCATTAGTGTTCTGGCTGTTAGCACAGTTAGCTCCTCACTCAAGGTAAACAATTCCTACATGCGAGAAGCTCATCCATCCTCTGCATTTATTTCCAAGAAGAGGTGGACACATCTTCACATGCTTCATCAGTTCCTTTGTCCCATATGAACCTTCATTTGAAGCAAAGAAAATTTGGCTTGACCTAACTGTCCATTGCCTGCATCCAATGGGATAGACACATGCAGTGTAGAGGGCAGGAAAGAGTTTCTACGGAAAAGTTTGATCTTTGACTATTATTTTCGCTTCCATAGATAGTTCTCAGGGTGGTCTTCCGATTTGTGTCTTGGAATAATAGTGTTTATGTTGTGACTAGGGACAAAAATTTGAGATTGGCATTAGAAGCTTAATTGAAATAAAATTTTCACCAGCCCTTCTCTGTTCATAAAGAAAACAATAATCAACTAATTACAGTCAGAGGTCATTGTGTTGGCATGAGGGTGACTGTGAATGTTTAGGATGTATGGTTTAAGAATGACAGAAATGCTGTTCACCCAGGCACTTGAAAGGCAGAGACAGACAGATCTCTGTGAGCTGAAGGCCAGCCTGGTCTATATAATGAGCTCCTGAACAGCCAAAACTGTATATAGAGACCCTGTATTAAAGAAACAAACAGACAACAATAGCTAAAAGAATCAAAAAAATTCTACTTTTTCAAAAAGAAAGCATGGAACAATGTTTTAGAGCAGAGTTGGATGGCCAAGCACAAACCGTGTCTATGTTAGTAATTACTTTCTCACTGATCCGTCTCCTTTTCACTGTGTCCTAAAATATAACTTTACAGAAGACTGTTTCTGTGTTTATTCCTCACACATAAGGTTTTAACTGAGCCACTCACCATCATCCCAAGGGACAATCCTCAGGAACCTATTTTCCCATCTGATTCTTCCTCCAGAGGTATTCTTAAAAAAGAAAAGAAAAGAAAAAGAAAAGAAGAAAAAAAAGTTACATCTAGAGTAATGTCCCACAAAAACTGTTCAAAGTTTAAAGATCCTAGTCTAACTTCCATAGGCACAGTACATAGCAACCAAGATACCCAATAAATAATACATTTTAATGTAACATCATTATCAAGCATGGAGTACATATTTATAACTATCATTGTATAAGGACTGATGAAGGTGAGCGGCACATGGAAATATGTGCGTGGTACAAAAAGATCTTTAAAAGGGAGTCGATAGGCTGATGTCATGGAAAGCAATGCAAAAATTAGACATCTAGAAGTGAGCAAGCCAGACAGTACAGAGAAGGGAATAGTCAAAGAAAGAATCAGAGACACAGGCACAGGGCATGGATTCCTAATGTCAGCAGACAGTCACGTTTATAAAGCCTTCCCTGAAGTTCTTCCATAAGGAAGGGTGGTAGTAAAATAATTTCCTTAACTCTAAAGCTTTCTTGTCTTTTTCAGCTTCAAAGAGATGTTCAAATGTGGCAAAATCAAAACACCCAAAGAAAAAGCATGTGCCGAGGTGATCAAGCAAGAATATGAAAAACTGGGGCCAATTAAGTAAGATATGCATGAGTAACACACACACACACACCACATACATGGAAACACCCAGATAAACACAAGCAGTTAATGTAAAGAAAATATCACTTACTTGCCAGCAAAGAAGTCCTAAGTCTTGACAAAGACCACAAACCTACGAAGCTCGGTGACTTTAAGTTACTAAGTCACTAAAATGAAATCCATACCACTGCCCAATTAAAATTTGCTAGATAGAAAAAAAACATAAACAAAATTCAGAGACGCTGAGGAGAAAGGGCCTTTTCTAGAGCCCCGGCACTCTCCAAATAAGAGCGCATCATGTTCCCACAGCAGCCATCAGCTTGACAACAGCTCAGAGTTCTCACAAATGTTGACAGCAGTATGTTTTCTACAGGTATCAAGAAATCGTGACCTTGGTAATCTTCGTCGTGATGGCCTTGCTATGGTTCAGTCGGGATCCTGGCTTTGTTACTGGCTGGTCGGCCCTGTTTTCAGAGTAAGTATTCACGCGTCAGCCCTTTCTGTTCTGTGCTGTGTCGCTGCTAACTAACTGTTGAAAAACTGCAGTGAGGTGCTTTGGTTATTTCTTTGGGAAAAAAAATATTTTTATGCCTAATCTCCTGTGGTGAGGTGATAAGTATCAGGTAAGAAAGCAAAAAGGATGGCCGTTATCCTCTGTATAAAAATTAGGGTCCATTAGACATGCAGCTACTACCTCAGGACCAAGTTAGACATTTGAGCTGCTTTTGACCAGGATCTAGGCTGATAGCAGAGTTGTGAGAGCTGTACCGCCCGACTTTGTTCAGGAACCTTCTATTTATTCTGGACAAATCACTGCACGCTCCCACTTCCTCTACCGGGAAGATGGAAATTACAGTAGCGCAGAGAATATTCCTATTTTTTTTTCTTTTCTAGTAAAAGTGCTAAATAGATATTGTGTGGAACAAATGCTACACAGTATGTTTTCTCTCGGTCTATTTTTGACCAGTACACTCTGGTTCTTACATCTAGAAGAGCTTCATCTTGTGCTTCCGGTCTCACATCCCCAGCAACAATCCACATAGTTTGCGAGCACAAATTGAAACTGAGTCAGACGTAATTTGGCCTGATGGAAGAGAGAAACACCACCTTCCCTCAGCCTAACTTTTCTGTTTCCACAGGCATAGCAATAATTTTTTTTTAAGGCCCAAAGGATGAATGCAGATGTCTTATCTTACCTTGCCTCAAGCAGTTCATGAGACAGGATAGTTTAAAAGATCAGCTGGATGCTCTTGATTTCTTTAGACAAAGAACTTCTCATTTTTAAGAAGGCCAAATTAAAAGCATCATCTATTTATTTAAAACAAGCTATCGTTTAATAGAAGATTGGTACTTGATATTTTTCTAATAGGATATAGAGCAAAATAAATAAATAACTCCAGCTCCCTTTAAAATCAACATCAACTATTATAAAGTTTCTCTCTCTCTCTCTTTCTCTTTCTGTAATGTACTGAGAACTAGATGGAATAGTAGCAAATAACAGTAAATAAAACCTAGGAGAAAGTAGCATATTCAGTACAATCAGATCTAATTTTTCTTCCTTATCACGGAAAACATAATTTAGGAGATGCTTTTCATTTGTGTAAGGAAGACAGTATGTGCTATGAGCAGGGGCTTCTCCTCTCACCTAAACTTGTGAGAGACAGCAGTAGGAAAGGAAACGGGGCTTGGAAGAGGACAGAGCTCGGCAGTAGAAATAAAACAAGCACAAGGCAAATAAAATCTGTATAGGCTTATTTCTTGATAGTGTTGAGATAACCCAGTTCCTATTGAATCAAAATTCAAAGTAATAATGAAAAATTATATTTTAAATGTTTTATGAAAATGTTTGTCAACCTTTATACCTTAATTTGTCTAAAGTATGCATTCTGTAAAATGTGTGTACTGTGTGCAGGTTTTAGGCAGCAACAATTTCTCAAGCTGGTATGATATATTAAGATTTATTGCTACCACCCAATGTTTTCATTCCATCTGCTTGAATCTGGACCGATTTCAATATGTCTTTTCATATAAAACAAAATCCAGTTACATGACACCTGGCTCAGTCTGGCAAAATCTTAGCCAAAAATTGTAACTAAAATAGAATAATAAAGGAACAATATATTTATAAGGATTGGTCATGTTTTTAGAAAGTTTATGCCACTCTAGTCTTTCTGTCAACAAGGAAAGAAAGTCAGCCTGCATTGAAGATGCATTTTTTTAAAAAATATATATATCAAATTGAGAAAAATAATGTACTTCCTTGATTATTTAGATTTTTCGCATAAACTGCAAAAGTATAGACTCTTGTAAAAAAAAAAAAGAAGTCGATTGAGATGGAAGATAGGAAAACAAGAATGATGACGCTCGTGTTTCCTCAGTTGCAAAAGTGCATGTCGTTGATACTGCTGACTTCTAAGGCTGTATTCTAATTGTTTGTGTCTGTTTCATTTGTATAATGTCCAGGTGCCTCTTAACTATGGAGGCTTCCGGAACCTGTCTTTTTGCTAGAATGGTCTGGCAATTCCTAGCCCCATCTGTTCCCAAATTATTCTTAAATTGTACAGGGATCATTTGTGAGCATCTCGTAGGTCATTCTGGTCATTAATCTTCTTAAGTTTCTAGAGGGCAAAGCATCAAATGGGTTGATTTCCTTTGGATATATGGTTAGTATCCACTGTGGAAGCAGGTGTTTCATCCTAGAAACCAGATCAATTTGCTTTCACAGTGTATAGAGGAGTTTGAAGGGACACTAGCAACAGCATGTCTCGCTAAATTCAATAGAATGACATTATAAATCAATTGCATGGGGCTTTGCCAAACTCCAGCAACTGTTTAAGCCTCAATTCTCTGACATTATAATAAAAAGCAGTATTTCAGAGAAGAAATTGCTTAACAAATATGAAAGTTTACCTGAAAATTTTGCTCTGTTGGTCTGATAAGGTATTATCTGGTTATTCAGTATTGGCAATATGAGAATGTATTGAATTATTAGGAATGCATTCTGAAATGACTGGTCCTTATAAGTTACATGACTTCATTGGGAAACTACGTTTTAGAACAGACTGTGTAGACTAAATGATCTGTATTTATTATCATTTCAATTTAAGTGTTATTAACATAATTCATTGATATCTTATCTCATACAAGTCCTTCATACCATTTTAATTTTTCAGGCACTCTGGTTATGTTACAGATTCAACTGTTGCGTTAGTTGCCGGGATACTTTTCTTTCTAATTCCAGCTAAGAAATTGACAAAAACTACATCTTCAGGAGAAATTGGTTGAGTATCTTTTTTTTTTTTCCAAAGGAAAAAAAAAGCTATCTTTTTTTCATTTTCATACCAATTCCAGTTCCTGCTCCCATTCCCTCCACACATTCCCTCACCTCAACCCTATCTATACTTCAGAGAGGATAAGGCACATTGCTTTGGGGAAGCTCCAAGGCCCTCCCTATTATGTCTAGGCTGAGCAAGGTATCCATCCAAAGAGAACAGGTTCCAAAAAAGCCAGTACAAACAGTAGGGATAAATCCTGGTGCCACTGCCAGTTGCCCCGCGGTCTGCCCCAGCCATACAACTGTCACTCACATTCAAAGGGTCTAGTTGGTTCCTATGCTCGTTCTTTCCCTATCTGGCCAGAGTTGGTGAGCTCCTATTAGCTCAGGTAAACTGTTTAAGTGTCCCCATAATGGTCTTGACCTCTTTGCTCATATTCTCACTCCTCCCACTCTTCAACTGGACATTGGAAGCTCAATCCAGTGTTCCACTGCTGGTCTCTGCCTGCTTCCATTAGTTGCTGGATGAAGGTTCTATGGTGACATTTAAGATACTCATCAATATGACTACAGGGCAAGTCAAGCTCGGGCACCCTCTCCACTATTGCTTAGGGTCTTAACTGGGGTCATCCTTGTGAATTCCTGGGGATTTCTCTAGAGCCATGCTACTTACTAGCCCCACAATGGCTCCCTCAATCAAAATATCTCTTTCTTTGCTTTCATCTCTGTCCTTCCTCCATCTCAACTATCCTGCCCACTCAAGTTCTCTTCCCCCTCCCCTTCTCCCCTCATATTCCCCTTCTGCCCTCCCTACTCCTCCCACCCCCATGCTCCATTGCTGGTGGAAATGCAAACTTGTACAACCACTTTGGAAATCAGTATGGTGGTTTCTCAGAAAATTGGGAATCAACCTACCTCAGGATCCAGCATTACCACTCTTGGGCATAAACTCAAAAGATGCTCAATCATACTACAAGGGCATTTGTTCAACTGGGTTTATAGCAGCATTATTTATAATAGCCAGAATCCTAGATGCCCTTCAACCAAAGAATGGGTACAGAAAATGTGGCACATTCACACATTAGAGTACTAGTCAGTGGAAAAAAAAAAAAGACATCTTGAAATTTGCATGCAAATGGATAGAACTAGAAAAAAACATCCTGAGTGAGGTAACCCTGACCAAGAAAGATGAAGATGGTATGTACTCACTCATAAGAAAATACTAGATATAAACAAAGGATATTGAGCCTATAGTTCATGATCTTAGAGAAGCTAAGTGACAAGGTGAACCTTAAGAAAAAACATACATATCCACCAGGAAAGGGGAAATAGATGAGTATCATTTCTAACAGTAAGTTTATAGAACATTTTTGAAGAAATTAAAATTCCATAAGCTTCAGTTAGCACACAGAATATTAAAAATGGCCATGTCAGTATAACCTCTATTTTAGCTTATCCCACTTATACCCTGAACCTCCTATTCGGCCAGTATTTATCTCTACCAACAGGAAGACTCTCTAGAGTTTGCAGAAATGAAAGTCTATTTCCTTTTATACCCAGGTTTCAGCTCTTCTTGAGGGATATCTCCTCCCCTGCCAAAATCAGAATATTGACTAACAAGGAAAGAAGAATAATAATTTTGAGGACCTAGAGAAAGACAAATTTAATGAGAAAGATTATTTATAGTTTCACAGAAAGTCCTTGAAGAAAAGAAAACAAGCATCTTATAGGCATAGCCTGAGTTCACAATTGGAAAAGGTGCTTAGTAAGAACACTCACGGTATTTACAACGCATGGTCAGAGAAGTGCACACATCTGCAGGAGCATGCATTCTCCTACATGCACTTCTTACACATGATTCGCTCCTGCCTGTGCTTTATGTTAACATCAGTTTTCAGGGGCTGCATTTTTATGTGCATACATAGGGCAAATGGGTTATAGCAGTTTGGAAGCATAGTTTCATGTTGGTTGCTGATGTGAGTAGCCTAATGACAGAACAGTATTAAGAAGTCTTATTTGCCTTACAATCTTAGGACAGTCCATCATTGGGTCGATATCAAGGCAGGAACTTCAGTTACATCACATCCACAATCAAGATAAAAAAAAAACAAATGCTTTTATTATTTTGAAGCCTCCTCTAGTCTTATAAATTCCAGGGGTTATCTCATGAAATAATATAACCCACAGTTGACTGGGCTCTCCCACATCAATGGACAGTTAAGACAGTCCCTCGCAGACATATCCAAAGGCCAAGCCAATCAAGATAATTCTTCATTGAGTCTCTCTTCTCAGTTGATTCTAGGTCATGCCCAGAGTTCAATGCACTGTCCTATAGTAAGAGTAGAAAGATGAGCCCATGAAAGAATGGTATTACTAATGACAACCTCATAATGATTTATCTAAATGTAATTCAAACATTATCAGAAGGATTTGACCAAAATACTTTCTCAAAGTTTCTTAAAGTATTTTTTCTGTGTCTGAGTGTTCCCTTGCACATGTGCGTGTGCGCTGTTTGGATCCATGTTGAGGCTGGAAAAGAGTGTCCGATTGGAACTGGAGTTACAAACAGCTGTGAGCCACCATGTAGATGCTAGGAATTGAACCCATGTCCTCTGGAAGAGCAGCCAGTGGACATAACTTCTGAGCCATCTCTCCACCTCCAAAGTTATAACATTTTTAATCAGTATAATATAATATTCCACTTAAAGTCAGTGCAAACTCAAAATCGAGGCCAAATCTCTGCCTGGAAAACAGTATCAAGATATTGTAAGTTTCTTGTAACATGACTATTCAGGAGACTAATAAAAATTATTGAATATTCTTGTGTTCAACAATATTTAACTGTAGGGTTTTTGTTTTGCAGTTGCTTTTGATTTTGCTCCCCTGATTACTTGGAAAGAATTCCAGTCATTCATGCCGTGGGACATAGCCATTCTCGTTGGTGGCGGCTTTGCCCTGGCAGATGGCTGTCAGGTAATGCTCAGTGTGTACGAGATTTAACAGTTAACTAGGTGGTTGAAAAGAAGAACACAGGCACAGTCAAGCTTTGGGCATAGTCACCTTTATCCTCTCATTTTAATAATGCAGAATTCAATAGCCATGCAGTATCCCACACAGATGAGGTGAGTTCATAGTTCAAGAACTTTTACAGGCTGTAAGCATAAACAATAATATCACAAGGTCTCAGAATGTCAAAGAAAATAATGCAAAAAAAGATTAAAATACTTAATCCATGACATTACACTTGAAGAGTAGCTTAGTAGGAGGAAAAACTTAGATTCAAAAATGTGGTTCCTAATTCGACATGTTCATTTGTTTGTTTGCTTATATTTTTATGTCATTTCATATAGAATTTGTGCAATTCTTCAGTTTCAATTCAATAACCCATTATTCTATCATTGTCAAATAAGGAGATGAAAAATAATGCCATAAAAATTTATCTTGTGAATGAATTCCAGAATATTTAATGTGGCAATTTCTGGTATATAATGTCCACTGTCAGGAAGAAATGAAAACACCATGAGTTAGACAGATGGCCATTTCATTGATCTATCCACCAGCTGACACAAAGCAAGCTCTTATCCCTTCTAATTTCCCTGGTCATTGTAGGTTTCCTAGAAGAAAATTATCTTCTCTAAAATTTTTTGAGCATATTTACATACAAACACGATCAAATGTACTCAGTAGGTTGTATATATGTGTTTGTATATATTAGAAAAATAATATATGTGAATAATATATATTATATGTAATGTATATATAGTATATAATTGAAGAAGAGACCATGCATTTAGCAGGGGAGACATGGAAGAAAATTTTTGAGGGAATCTTGAGAGTGGTGTAGATACAATGTCAATGTATGAAACTCTCAATTTTTGTTTTGAGAAAGCAAAGAATATTTCTATCTTTCTGTCTGACTACACACCAGTCACTCAGGGGGTTCATAGCTTTCTATTAAATACTCAGCGCTGATTTGCATCTATTTCCATACTCAGTCACAAACAGCAGGATGGCAAGGGAGGAACTGTGACAAGTCCCCTGACTTCTTAGAAGTCATATATTTATTTATTTCAATTTACAGTACAAAGTGCTATTGTTTCTTCTTGATAGGAGAATACTGTTTACTTCTAATTTTCTTACTAGTTCCTGCATAGGTTTTAGATTCAGACCTTTTCAGCAATAAGGGTTAGTAATTACTGTAAGTCTTAGAAACCATTTCAACTCAGAGAGCCTTTTGCCAAATTGCTTTAGGCTTAGATATGCCCAGATAAAAATGGTAGAAGTATAAGACAATAACAATTTTCTTTTCTACTATTTCAGCAGTAATGAGATCTGCATTCTCAGAATAATAACTGCCATCTTTATGTCTGCTGATTTGAACTGTGAGGAAAGCAGAATCAGAAAGTCTGGCATTCATAAGAATGTTGCTCTTCTCTGCTCAGAATATGTCTAAACTGGACTCTAGACACTCAAAGTGGCTTTGAAAGCATCGACCAGACCCTAGAACAGCAAAATCTGAGGAAATGAAAAGGTGTGGATTTAGTCTGATGCACATGGCTCTCTCAGTGGAAGAATTAGGAAATCACAGAGGGAGGAATAATTCACTATAAAGATCCTAGTACCTAATATTAAGATCCTAAAATGTGTATTCTGCAAGAATTTCCAGAAAAACTACTCCTGAGTAACCAAACTGAAGTCAAAAGCTTCTCACAAAAAAAAGTTCGTACAAAATTGTGACCCTAAAAATTGTTTTTACAAAATACTAGGAGACAACTTGAAAAACTTTTGTTCAAAGTTATAATTTGTCTGACAAATGTCTCAAGCCACGGAATATTTCTACTTTAAAAAATAACCAAAAATTAAAAAAGAACCATGAGGTAGCAATTATGTGCTATTTACCTCATGCTGTGTCCTTTCTCTTAAATGCCCCTGACTTGATTTAAGATGATGAATGTCTCACAAAGTGATGGATACTGTCTAACTCTTCCCAGTGAATAATTTCTCTTTGTTGTTGGTTCTTTACACATTACTCAAATGCTTTTTCTAAGATAACTGTGAGAGATTAAATACTGTTTTCTCAAATATTCCTAAGTTCCCAAGAACATAATAAATAATGACAAAAAGTACTAACAGTCTTTAAAGATAAAAATTGTATAACACAGTCAATAGCATACAAAAGATGTTTAAAACCATGCAAGATAGTGGGAAAATGTTGTATGAGTAAATCGTTTTGTGAAAGTAGATGAACTATGTAGGTCAGAAAATGGAAGGGTCCTCAAGAAATTAGGTGATTTAATATTAAGATCCTGAAAGGGAGAAAGAATTGGAAGCAACGGATAATATTGTAAGCATGGAAGAAGCCAGGGCTGGATATTAAAATGATTTTTAAAGCTTCCAAGGTTATGCAATTGCTTCAACTACTATCCCTATTCTTGAAGGGGAACACAGTCTTTAGGAAACTGTTTCATTTTGTAGCAAAGTTGAAGCATGGTCTCCATCAATAATCATTGCTCATTACCAAGAGCTTTAAATCACCATTTAATTGTCTCTTTAAATAAAACTGGGTATGTAGTCAAGAGCCAACAGATAGTTGGGAGAAGCCCCATTTATAATCACCAAAGGAAGAAAACTAAAATGAAAAAAGGAAAGACAAAGAAATAGAACAAGGAAAAAGTAAAGAGAGTGAACAAAGCAATAAATTCTTTAAATTTTATCATTGGTGCCTCAAAGGGATGTCAGAAAGATACGAAAAGAAAAAGAAAATACCATTTAAAAATGATAATAAAGTAATTCAAATTTAGAATTATGGTATCAACTTTATATTTAAAAGTCAGCAACATTCTTTAAAGATAAAATCTAACATATGTCAGAAATACAACAAAAGGCTAAAAGACAGTAAACACTAAAAAGAGTTGATTGTCCGGTACCAAATGGTCAGCCCTCAACATATACATTTAAGCAACATTAACACTCTCAGTAGCTTGAATGTGTGTATATATGTATGTGTGTCCATATATAAGTATTTATGTATGTGAGTCTGTATTTGTGTGTGTATAACAATAAAGAAAAGGGGGCATGAATTTGAGAGGGAAGGGGGAATTAGAAAAATTGCAGAGAGAAGAGAGGGGAAAATGTTGCAACTATATTTTAATCAAAAATAAAGTAAAATTGTGAAAAGATAAGAAAACTAGAGCATTAGTCTACAAACTCCTCAAGAGTCTTTTTAGAAAGAGAAAGAGTAGAAAGGAAGGAGATCTCTATAAATAACACCAGGAATGTCTCGGAAGTAAAGTCTCTGAGATTGTTGTCTAAGAGAACTATGAAAAGGTTCATGCTGGAGGGATTCATGTAGAGTCTACATTGTAGATCTCATAATCTTGAGGTGGAGATAGAATCATAATGGACTCCAGAACGAATCACAAACACTTGCTGCGTTCCTCTCACATCTCAATCAGAACAAGGTAAAACACATCTTCACTCCACTCTAGGATTCTATGTCCTTGTGTTTTAGTTTTTATACTTCTAAATGTTACACTCAGTATTCATACCTTTATATGTATAAATCCATAAAGCTAAATATCCATTCTCATAATGGCTCATTGGATAAATTGCTTCCTCTACAAGTTTGGGAAACAGAGTTCAAATCTCCAGGAACTCCTGTAAATTGTAGGTGGTTACGGTGACCCTCTGTAATTCCAGAGCAAGCTAAATAGATAGATTGGCCATATCAGTGGACTCTGGATTCAATTGAGAGAACCTGACTCCACATATAGCGTGAATAGCAGTCAAGACTCTTAGCATCAATCTCAGGCTTACACACACACACACACACACACACACACACACACACGGACATATGCCCACATACTTATAAACATACATAATATAATCATGCACTTGCACAAACATACACATGATAAAATACAAATAAAAGAGTTAATTCTGTATATGAATCAAAACAATAAACAATAAAACCCATATTTGTGATGCTTGTATTTACTTTGGAAATGAATTTATTGCTTATAATCAAAGTGTTTTCCTGATGCATAGCCTAGATTTTCATAAGTATAAAATCACAAAGGGTAGACTTTTCCTTCTATTTAGGGAGAAATCAGAATAATAAACCGATTAATCCGAGTGCAGGCAATATTTTGGACTACATGAAATGAAACACAGATCAATATTCAATCAATTTTTAAAAACCCACAGAAAGACACAGAAAATAAATTGATAGTTTAACATTGCTGAGTGATTTTGATGATTTCGAAACTATAATTCCCAAAATCAGAACTAGAAAAATAGTGTGAAAAGAAATAAAATAATTTTCAGACCTATAAATACTCTGCAAATGTACTTTCTCTCCTACAATCTCAGCATATTTGAAAGGATGTGTTGTTCCTCCAAATAAGCAGAATGAAGGAGAGGTTCCCACAAAGCAGAGTGATGAGACAAGAGTGGACTTAAGTAGGTCTAAAATTAATCTAGTCCAGATGGAGCAGGAAAAGGGTCTATTCCAGGACAGATATCTTGAGGGAACATGAACAAAGCAAACCCACTTGCTTCACGTGTTTGTTTGCTTGTTGGATATGTCTCCAAATAGTTTGAAGAGCATGATGAATTGGTGATAGGTTTTTAGAAAACTAAGCAATCAGACTAATGTTTTCTTTGGAAAACAAAGTAAATATAATCTTAGATGGTTAAGTGGCTCATCAATGAATAATATTTATATAATTATAGCATTAAACTTTAAATATTGATTTAACCAAAGTATAGCAATGTTCTAAGGAATTAAGGGGCAGAAAACATATGTATGATGAATGGCATAAGAAAACACAATCCTCAGGCAACATATTAGGAAATCAATAAATAATGTTTCCAGTTGAAAACTTAAGAAAAAGCTGAATTAGAATGTTATTTTGAAAGATACCTATACTAACACTAAATATCAGTGTAAATAGCTAATAACAGTTGACAATTCTTGCCTCTGGGGATACAGCTTAGGAGAAGGGGGAGGAGCCTGCAGGCTTCCCTTTTCTTAAAGTTCTATGGTCCATCATGACTTATCAAGACCTTTAGATATTTTGATTACATAAAATTAATGTTTAATAGAGGAAAACATAGAGAGAGAATTTAAACTTCTTAAAGCTTGACCATAGTATTGAAATAATTCTGAAAACTTGTTCCTATCAAACCTACCTATAATTATCAAAACACAAGAATATGGGAAATGATATTTCAGAAACAAACTCAGTAAATACTCTGTGTGTATGTGAATGGTGTGATTAAATTGGGCTTCATTAAAATGAATCGTGTGAAGTGGGACAGTTGTGTAGCTTGGTCTGTTTGTAAGACTCCTGGGACTGGGATCAGGGCCTGTCTATAACACTTTGCCTGGATTTGGGGAACCTATTCCTCATACTGGGTTGCCTCTTCCAGCATCAGTGTAAAGTGAGGAGCTTCAGAAACAGAGGAGGAGTGGATGGGTGGGGGTAGAGGGGAGGCAGAAGAGGAGATAGGAGGAGAGGGAAACTGTGGTCGGGATGTAAAATTAATGAAAGAAATAATCAATAAAAATGAATTATGTGAATAATAAATACTGCAAATTTGTTTTTTAGGCATCAGGACTATCTACCTGGATAGGAAGTAAATTATCTCCTTTAGGTTCATTACCAATTTGGCTAATAATTCTGATATCTTCTTTGATTGTCACGAGTTTGACAGAGGTAGCCAGCAATCCAGCTACCATCACCATTCTTTTCCCAATATTATCTCCTTTGGTGAGTATTACACTTACATTGTTTTCCTCTAGAGTAGGTTTTCTTGTCATTTTGACTGTGAGTTTTCATCCTGTGGTATAGTTTCTTTTGGCCCAAATGAACCTTCTGTAAGCAACCTATATGGTCTTTATCTGCACCAGGTGATGCTTACTCAAGGGAACTATATTTCACATCCAAGTGGGATAATCTTTAGTAAATAATTTACCTTTTCTCTGCACAGGTTTTTGTTTTGTTCTGTTTTCATTTGCAAATATATGAAACTATTCTGGATCCAGTGCAGCCCTAAGTTGATTCAATAGTTCTAGGCACTTTGAAATGTCTCCTTTCTGAACAGTGTTCCTAAGTTTCTGAGAAGTTCTTCCTATAAGTGATGTACAGACGAATGAGAATATAGTCTTAACCTTGAGGCCTAAATTTCTTAGAGTTCTAGAGACAATGTGCTAAAAGGGGGAGGAAGACCACTTTTCCACACTCCATAGCAAGCACATGAGATAACTTTGCATGAAATGTTTTGCTGATTCAGGTGGGGGATGTTGGTGAAAAGAAAGCACTTTAAATTAAGAACTGTTTTAAAGAAACAGCAAAGATTGTCTTTCTGAAAATGATTCCCAGCCACTCCACAGAGTTATTTCCTCGTATACTTGAGTTGCTACTAAAAAAGTAAATCTAGATTGTTTATCAATTGCCTATTGGCAAGAAATCACAAACAACATATCATCTCAGCTTTCGGCTTTCTGGTTTTATTTCGTGAAATAAACCACCAGAAAATTATGCGACAAGTTCCAGATAATAACCATTCTCCCTAAGTAATGATCACTGAGGAATTTTAAATCTCTCACAGAAGTAATTGAGTAAATAGTACACTGAAAATCTCTAGAGCCACAGGCACCCAGGCCTTCCCAAGATTCTCTTGGTTGTCTGCATGCTCGACAATTTCTTTGGTGTCTCTGTCCTCAGTGACATCATCTATTATTTTGAGCTATATTAGCCATCTTATACTTTTCTAAATTGTTTAAGAATATACAAAGATATTATTATATAGTATAATATGTGAATGTATGTAACACTAATTACATAATAAATATATTTTGTTTAATGTAGTTTCTGAGATAAGGTATACTTTACTTTTTAAATAAATTGTAATATAAAGGTCTAAATACATAGCAATAACAATAAAAATAAGAGGTACTTTACAATACTCTGCAAAGTTCTAAATTATGCACTATTTTATGCTTTTAGGTTTCAACTCTATTCTGGGAAAGTATTTTACAATAACTTTGTTCATTTTCATGTTTGGAGTCCACCCTCAGCATTTTAATTCCGCTCTCCTTTGGCTTTTCCTACAGGCGGAAGCCATTCATGTGAACCCCCTTCATATTTTACTGCCTTCCACACTCTGTACATCATTTGCATTCCTTCTGCCAGTTGCAAATCCACCCAATGCTATTGTTTTTTCATATGGCCACTTGAAAGTCATCGACATGGTAAGTTAGCAGCTATAAGAACATGATGTCACCCAATAGACTCCTCTACCTGATGGGCCAAATAAGTGCTACCCTTGCATTCTAATTAATCCTGATAAAATCAGAGTTTGAAGTCTGTTTCTAAAACTGTGGGTACGAATGGTCATAGGATTATTTTCAAGAAGTGGACATGCCATTAGAGTTTATGGTCACAAATAGAGATGTGGAATGCATGAGCATTGGTCGGGAGAAAAGGAAAAGAGCACGGAATTTCTCAACGTGACTCCTTAAACCTATGCCAAGATTAGGATCCAACCTAAGGCAAAAAAGAAACAGGAACACAACTGTTCTGTATCACAAATGTTTATGCAACATTTGGTCTGATGAAGACATTGCTCAATACCTGAGTAAAAGTACCTTTCGTGTAGATCTTGTAGATATCTTTTTTCTAGAGGATCTCTGTGAGAACAAAGAAAAATTTAAGTGATAGAACACATATTTTGTTTCCAAACACAAATCGTGGTAGATGAGAACCAATTTGAGAATATTCCAGTCTTAACCCAATCTCCATCACCAATTTCCAACCCAACCCAAAGGAGAATATAGTCAAAATCAATTCTGTAAGTTTGCTACTTCTGTGGAGTTACAAGGTGAGTTCCTGTTCCTTTTTCCCACCCTAATAGCTGTCCCTGAAAACCAGTGAAATAAAACTTCTGGAAATATTTCTATGCTCAAGGCACATAATATCTTGTTGCAAAATAGAATGTTTAACACAAAATATCACAAACATGTATTGTGTGAATATGAAAAATTATGGCTTGTATGGATAGAAAAGGGATATCCAAAGTAATCATGCTAAATATTTCCCTTTTGCTTTGGAAAGCCATGTTTTAATGCAGAGAATTCAGGAACAGGCAAACAGTCTCTGTGAGGGGACCAACCACAACTACTTTAGGCTTTGCAGGCCATAGAGTTTCTGCCACAATTACCCTCCTCCACTATTGTATCATATAACCAGTTAATGATATTCTATAAACAAATGAGCAATGATATGGTCTAGGGAAAAATCAAATGGTAGTAACAAAAAACAATTTAAGAGCAGCAGCTGACAATCTCTAAGATGTAAAAAACTATTTTGAGATTGTTCATTGGACACACTAGAATTCCTATGTAAGAGTTTCAAAAAAATAGCAACAGTAGGAAAGAGGAATAGAAGTGGCATTACAAAATTTCAATAAAAAAATACTCTCATGGGAAACCAGTACTGCTAAATGATCCTGAAGAATACTGTTGTCACATGGGATTCCTGAAAACCATTCATAAATAAGATCATCAATCACCAATTGTAATTTAACATACAAGGGCAGATTGACTGACATATATTCCAAAGAGAAGCCTCTCTGGTGCTGTCAAAATGATAGTGAGGGACAGATTCTCATTTGATATGAAAGGGAGAATATACCCAGTTGATGATAATCACGACTTATATAGGTCATTGAGGGTATATGTAAATCAGGTTTATGCTTTGTGTGATGCAATTCTGAAATCGCTGTGGAATTTTTTTCACTGAGAGACTGACATGTGTGCATTTTTCCTGTTCTAGGTTAAAGCTGGACTTGGAGTAAATATTTTGGGTGTTGCTGTGGTGATGCTGGGCATGTTCACCTGGATCGAATCTATGTTTAACCTCAATGAGTACCCTGCCTGGGCTCCCAATTTTGTTAATCAGACCATGCCATGACAAGCACAAAATTGCTACTTTATTGTGACTTTGGGACTTGCTAGGAATTCATTGTAAGATGTAACTGTATATTATTGACACATATCAATCAATGATATAGTCACTGCAGTCCTGGTAAATGCCTCACACTCACTGTCATAGAGTCTATACGTCTTTTGAAGGACAACCCAAGAGCATCTACACACCTACATCCAGAAACCTATGGTTGAAATTGCGTTGGCAGACCCTACACACGCTTTCTCCATAAAAGTGATGCTAGTACCTTCAACAAAGTTAGGCCATTTTCCACATCTTAAACTTGGAGTTAAGTGTAACATTTCAAACATTAATTTACTATTTGAAAATCTTCTTATGGAACTAAAAGCAGAAAATAAAGTATAAAAGTAAATGTGATACTTGAATAAATCATTTCTATAGTGTTTTTCAAGGGAATTTGCTAAGGAATCAAGCCACAGCCATTGGTGTAATAAAAGTAACATGTGTATTTATTTATTTATTGAAAATTCCAGCTGCATTATTACTAAGGTATAGACAAAAGAAATTGAAGTTAAAATAGTTATAAATTCCCAAATCCACGAATTCATTTGATAGTAGAAAATTTACAATGATTAATTCTATGTGTCCATATAAACAGGCTATCATTTTATTTGTCTGTGAATTCCATGCTGAGCAATGCATTTTGAGGAGTTATGAATAAATGAGTTGTGATTTGCAGTATTTTACAGTATAGTTAGAAAAGCTGTGCATTAAAACTATTAACACATCTGTGCAATGTATGACGTCTGCATCTGTCACCACAGGATCACAGGATTTGGATTCTCCCCTGCTTAGTCTCACAGAGGAAATAAACTAAAAAAAAAAAAAAAAAAAAAAAAGCCCCCAGTTTCACAAATCCTGGGTTGACACAAAGACTACAAATTTTGAAGAAAATAACCAGAAGTATAGTAATTTCTCTCTAGTACTCTGATAACTTTGCTTAACTTACTTTGTAGGGCCCTGTAACCACTGTTGTCACAGATGCAAACTCTTCACTTGGGTTAGCAGATGTCCGGTAGGTGACCATAGCAGGATAAAAGCATTTAAAATCCCTTCTTTGCATTGTTTCTCTCACTTTATTCTAATTAAATTTATTTTTATTTTAAAAACTGTTTGTTTTAGAGAACAATATATGAAAAATGATTTGTAATTTAAAAATATTACTATATATAGAAGTAAATCACATAAATCTATTGTATCAATACTAAAATAAGAAAGATAGTAAATACAGAATAAAAAATTAAAAAGATGTACTTGACAAAAAAGAAAAACTACTTATGATAAAGAAAACCAGCCTTCAAGCATACAGACAAACAAGAAATAAGATTAAAAAAAGAAAGAGAGAAAGATCTTTGGTATTCCAAAGCTGGCCTAAAAAAATAAAATTATCAAAACCAAAATAATCTGTTCATTTAAGAAAAGATTGACCTTAGAGCATGGAATTTTCCTGCTAAAAATGAAATGGAGGTCAAAATGAACTTTTGTTTTTATTCCTCATTTGCACATTCCTTGACGTTAAGGCCTGGTTTGGAAATTTTTTTAATGCTACTATTTATAAAATTATTCTTGAAATTAAGCATCAAAAGGGTTCTAAAAATTATGATATATCTTTCTTACCTTTTATCATTTAAATGATTTTTTAAATTTAAATATATTTTGATCTTATTTTTCCTCTCCCTAAAGTTCATTAGGATACTCTCCACCTCTCTACAACTTTAAGTTTTTTCTCAGGAAACAAAAACCCAATACAACTAAAGTCCCCCAAACTAAGGAAAAAATAATAACACTACCCAAGAAGCAAAACAAATTACCTCCCAAACTGAACCAAACAGAAGCAGGCACAAACAAATAATTGTGACTATCATTTTATGTTTGTCAGCTGCTCCTGAACATGAGGCCTGTCCTGGAGGGGTTAACCCAGTACCGCTTCATTAGAGAAAAATGATTTTTCCCCCTCCCAGCAGATATAAGTGACAGTTTCATTGTTAGCCTTTACTCTAGTGACTAGGTTTTCATTCATTCATTAATCCACTCATTCATTTTTTTGAAATATAACACAATAAATATAATAAGATAAAACAAAAACAATTCATTGAAGTTGAACAAGAGAAACCAAGAAAAGGAAAAGAACCCAAGAGCAGGTGCAAGAATAAGAAACTCACTCATTTACACACTCGGGAATCACTAAAAACACTAAACTGGAAGCTTACATGTGTACAGAGAGGACCTGGCTCAGCCCCGGGCAGTCCCTGTGCATGTTGCTTCAGTCTCTGTGAGTTTATATGCATTTTGATCATGTTGATTTGGAGGGCCGTGTATTTCTTGGCGTCCTCCATCCTTTCTGGCTCAAACACTCTTTCTGCTTCCATAGAATGCCCTGAGCTCTGATGGAGAAGGATTTGATAGAGCTATTTTATTCAGGGCTGGGTGTTTCATGGTCTCTTACCCTCTGTGCTGTACGTGGATGTGGTTGAACATGCATACCTCTATGCACGTCCCCATCTGTTAGAGAAGGAAACTTCTCTGATGGTGATTGAACAAGGCTCTGATCTACAAGTACAGCGGAGTGTCATCAGCAGTCATATTATCAAGACTTTTTTTCTATTTTTAGAAGAGTACTATTTGGTTTTATCCTAGGTCTCTGTGTTATTTAGTCTCGGGTTAGCCAAGCAGTGTCAGGTATATCTTCTAAAATAATGTACAATGAATCGTCTGTTACTACATGTGGTTATTAGTCAATGAAAGTTAATCATCTTTTTAAATAAAAATTCATTCTTTTTAATCTTAAAAGATAATCCTGCTGCTTTGTGAAAATCATCTATGTTCAATTAATTCATTTATTCCTTTATTATTTTCCCTATCATATGTCACACTTTTATTTATGATCTGGAATATAGATTAAATTCTGCTCACTACTTGTCATTTAATTTATCACTGATAAATTATATTATGTTTTAGGTACATTTTTATTATGAAAAACTAAAATGAATTGTCCAATTATTTTGAATAAGTTTTGGTCTCGAGAAAATGATATCAGCATTTCAGCTTGAATAATTTTAATGTATTACTTCCAGCAGCTGCCATCTGAGTTCAAGAATGGTAATACGTAGCCCAAAATTGTTTAATTGAGCCATCCTGTTTTCTTGCCACATCTTTATGTTTGGTCAATATATCAGAACTGACTGATTCATTTCACATTAATCCCTTTTATATCAAAGTTCTCAAGCTTTTAAAATCTGAGGATTGCATGTTGTCTTTGAAATTTCTAAAAGACACTCTTAAACAGATGATCAAACACTTCTTCATCCTCCCACTCTGTAGCAGATAGTATTTTTGCCATTATCTTGAACATCACTTAAAGGTTAACTAGTAATCATTGTCACTTTAAATTTGAGCATCTTACTTAGGATCAGATCTTGTCTGGATAATAGTAGCAATTTCACTAACTGCTTCTTCACTGTTCACGTAAGTACATTGAAGGCTTTGCTGGCATATGTATGTCTTTCATGTGCCCCAGTTGCTACTGTGCAGGGCAGCGTCTCCAGGATCCAGACTTCCTTTTCTAGCGAGTGTGTGATGTCCTCCCCTTCTTGGTTTCCATGTCTTTGTTCCTCTTAAAGGTAGAGAAATTGACTTTCAACAATTGCTACTAATTAACATTATTGCACACAGTTGACAAAACAATATCATGGCATGTTGTTTGTGTCTTGACAAGCTTTCTATATGTAAAAGGCTGTTGCATTTATCTCTGTATCTCTGCCTCAGGTAAATATTTGGAAAGAACCTTTGTTATAACTAGTCCAAGTACAGAGAATAAGTTACTATGGAGTGCTTGGCCATATATGTGACTTGTTTACCACACTCCTTTATCCCAAGCTCAGGGAACAACACTGAAGAAGAGTAGAAAGAGTGTAAGAACAAGAGGTTAGAGAGGGCTGCGGTTAACTAGATCAAGAGAGTCAAATTTCAACATCTTTCAGGGAGGGCTTACAAGGCCCTACCCCTAGCTAAAGACTTAATAACAGTTGATAGTTGCTGAAGGAGGGAGTTAGTTTTCTTCCGCAGTGTTTTCCATAGTAGATTGCCCATGCCCTAGTAGATGCTCCTTTACCCATTCACATAGCACTTAATTCAGCCTTAGTGGATTAAGAAGAAGAGGAGGAGCAGGAGAAGGGGGAGCAGCAGGAGGAAAACAGGAATGAGAAGGAGGAAGAAAAAGAGAAGAACAAGAAGAAAAAGAGGAGGCAGGAGGGAGGAGAAATGGAGATGAATTTGGGAGAGGAACATGAATAGTGGGGTCTAGGAGAGTTAGACATGGATAATGAGTGTTGATGATAAAAACATGGTCTATTAGGATATGAATTTCTCAAAGAATAAATAGAAATAGTATGTCAATAAAAAGAACCTTTGTGGTGATATTTTTATCGCAAAACTGTATTGATTTCTTTGATGAGTAACTCTAATGTGTATTTGTGTATGTATTTTACCAAATTAACTTGCCAAAGTAATTTTACCAAATTAAATGTTTTTTCTTACTTATTTTTGGTAGGAGATGGATGCTAGGAAAGAAACAGTAAACCCAAGAGAAATGAGTCAATTTTATTCTTGGAACACAGCCTAAAAAAGAAAAATAGTTAAAGTCTGTTACTCCAGATCATCACTAGCAATCTTACACAAAAACAAACCATGATAACTTGTAAAATTGCTCTAGATAAGTTCTGGGAAGGCAACTATCAAAAGTATGGTCACGTTTGTGGTGGTAACCCACATTAGTTCAGTTGTCACTAGAAATAGCAAACAGGCAGAAATTAAAAGGAGTTTTAGAAATATGTAGTCTTCAGCTGTTTAACAAGTCTGTAGATCCTCCTGTCTCTCTCCCATCCTCAGCACTGGGGTTACAGTACATATGACCATGCCCAGCACTGGGGTTACAGGACATATGACCATGTCCAGCACTGGGGTTACGGGACTTATGACCATGATGAGCACTGGGGTAATAAACATATAACCATGCCCAGCACTGGGGTTATGGTACATGTGACCATGCTCTGTTTTCCACATGGACACTATGGGTTGAACTCATGCTCCCATGGCAAACACTCTTATTTACTTAGCCATCTCTCCAGCACGACTTTGTATGATGTTTTAATAAAAACTGACAAACCACACCAATGTGAAAGCAATGTGCATGACCTAACACTAACAGAATAAGTGGAAACCAAATGACAAAAAGATCTGGTATCATAATTGTTAAATGTAGGCCATAAAATCATGAGAACTAATATCTGAAAACATGAGGAGAGTTATGGAAAGAGTGTAAAGATAGTAAGCACAAACTGACAACATTCCCTTAAGATTTCAGTATAATGCTAAATTATTCATATTATTCAAGTTTGCCCAAGAAAAGTACATCATCCCTTAAACGCAGAAGAGAGGAGAGAACATGAAGAGGCATGGAAATGAGGATGAGACTCAATCTACCTTTGATGGTTGTGGGTGAAGCCAATCTCAAGTCAGGTAGTGCAGGCAGCTTTTAGTGAATGAGGTTGGTCCCCAACTAAAAACTCATCTAGGAGTTTGCCCTATAGTGACATGACACTGAACTCTACCAACAGCCAGCATGTGAAGGTTGCTGATGTTACCCGTCAAGATTTTGTTCTGGCCATCAGTTCCACAGAACTTCTAATTATGACTGGTGTCATTTTAGCCACTAAATTTACAGTAATGTGTTATGGTAGCAATAGTAAACAAATACAATAGGCAACATGAGACTGTAAACCATGGTAGAGAGATGTGTCAAATAGAACTTTTAGAAGTAGGAAGTATTGCAGTGTTAAAA